GAATGAATGCTTAATTTTGTAAATACTAAGATGGTCATATTAGTATTGGTTCAGTTTGATTCTTCTGAGCCCTGTTTTTAAGCTTTGTTAGGGTGGCGCTAGAGTAACCTTTATTCTAAAGCAGTTGTTCTCAATTAGAAGTGTTTTTGACCCAACATGGGACACTTGGAAATGTCTGTAGTCATTTTCGATTATCATGACTAGAGGGGTGGCCACTACAGACAACTGAGCAGAGACCAAAGAGCCTGCTAAACGTCCTGCCATTAGCAGGGTCATACCCTTCAACAAAGAATCACCTGATGTGAGATGTTAGTAGTGCTACTATTGAGAAACTCTGTTCTAGAGATAATTTAGCCCTCCTATGAAAGCATGGCCCATCGGGCTGCTGTCGAATGTCCTGTGATCAGTAAGGGCTTGTACTTTGGCTGTTTGGAATTCAAGCTTCCCTAAGTCTGCTAAGCTCCAGAACCATTCAGCCCATGGCTCCCCAGCCGCTCTTGGCCTGGTCTGTGCATTTTCATCCCATACGTGCACAGTGTAGTTTTTAGCAGACTCAAAAGATGCTTGTGAGATTTCCAATGCTCCTCTGCACTGTTCCTTTCTTTCTGTAACTCTGCCCTGGAATTTTCAGCTACCTCAGCCTCCCCATTCTCTGATTTCTGTCTCTTTAACTCATCAAGGTTCTGTTTGGGTTCCTACTTTCTGTACCCGAGTTCAAAAATTATCTAATTAGGGTGATCATAGGGCTCATCTTGTGTTTCAGGGATCAAGGTAGTGTGCTTTCAATGTCTGAAAACATTGTTTCATAGGTTTTTTCCCTATTTTTCTGCTTATTTATGGTAGGAAGGCACATTCAGTACCAGTTACTCTGTTGCAGCCAGAAACAGAAGTTTCGATCTGCATTTTTAATATATTTCATATTTCATATGTCATATTTCAGTGAGTTAATGTACCTTTAAAATTCCGTATTTCTAGATATTAAAAAAAAAATGTTTTAGAGAACACTGCTGTAACAGTTTTCCTACATATGCTCAGCTCCCAAAAAGCAATTCTGGAGACTACCGCAGTTCTGGAGAAGTGCTTTTTCCTATTCTTCCTTCTAAGTACAGCTAAAAATCAGTGTATGTAAAACAAACATGGAAGGTTGGGTGAAGGCCGACTGGCTAGGGATGTCAAGACTTGAGGAATGCCACGGCAATGAGATACTTGGGTGGTTTTTTGTTTGTTTGTTTGTTTGTTTTGCCTCATATATCTGAGACCAAGTACTGGAGAAGATGGCAATATGGAAATACCAATGGGTGCAGAGCAAAAAAGCCCAAAAAAAGCCTCTCTCCAGTCAGAGGGCCAGGAAAATGGGTAGCAAGACAAAACTTTTATTAAACAGGAACTGCTCTTCCATAGTTGTTGGTGGAGACTGTGTGGGAGCCTGGACCTGCCCCCAACCTGGTGGTAATGAGACCTCTCCCTTCTCTAGCTTGTCTGGTGGCAGAGGGGGCCTAGTGGAAAGGCAGGGCTTTCACCACTTCCCGGTGAGACTGAGGCCAAACCTCCGCCACCCCAATATGTCAACAGAGGCCAAACGGGACAGTAACAACTAGCTCTGCCCCTTCCAGCAGGTGTAATTTCTTCATAGGCCAAGTAAAGAACCAGAACTCTCACCCTGGCCCAGAAATAATGAACCCTTCGCCCCGCCAGGCGTTAATAGAGGCCAAATGGGGGATCTTGACTTCTGCCCCCCAGCTGGCAATAACAGAGTTCCGCCTCCCTTTCCCTTCCAGGGAAGTGTCAGAGGAGGCCTAGTAAAACAAGGTTTAGATGAAATCACAGGTCTCATAACAAGACCAAAAATGTCCAAGTTTCAATAGAAAATCACTTGGTACCCAAGAACCAGGAAAATCTCAACTTATATGAAAGACAATCAACAGAAACAGTGAGCTGTCATAGATGGTAGTTGTCTGACAAGGAAATTTTTTCATTGTGGTATAATATACATAACATTCACAGTTTTAACCATATCTAAGTATCCCATTTAGTGGTATCATGTAAATTCTCAGGGTTGTGCAACCATCGCCACCATGCATCTCTAGAATTTTTTTCATTTTCCTAAACTGAAACTGTACACATTAAACAGCAAGTCCCCGTTTCCCTCTCTCCCTAGTCTCTGGCAACCGCCATTTAATTTTCTGTCTCTGTATATTTGACAACTCTTGGTACGTCATATAAGTGGGACCATATACATAATCCTTTTGCGACTGGCTTATTTCACTTAGTGTAATGTCTTTGAGGTTCATCCATCTGACAAGGATTTTAAAGCATGTATCAGAAATATTTCATTAAGCAATTACATGCTGGAAACATGAAAGAAAATCTTAGCAAAGAAATAGATATAAAGTAGAACCAAATGGAAATTTTAGGACTGAAAAATACAGTAAATGAAAAAAAAATCAATGGGTGGACTCAACAGCAAAATGAAGGGACAGAGGAAAGAACTTGAAGATAGAGTGATAGAAAATAATGCAAATAAAAGAAAATAGACTGGAAAAAAAAAATGAACAGAGCCTCAGGGACCCATGGGACTATAACAAAATATCTCAACGTTCATGTCATTGCGGTCCCAGGGGGAGAGGAGGATAAGGGTGAGACTGAAGAAGTAGTTGAAGAAATAGGTGGAAAATGTCCCCAATTTGGTAAGAGATATAAACCAACAGATTCAAGAAACAGTGAACCCCAAGCAGAGTAAACCCAAAGAAATCACAACAAGACATGTTCAACTTCTGAAAACTAACAAGAAAAAAAAAAAAATCAAAAGCAGAGAGGAATGACACCTGAGCTGTAAAGGAAAAACATTCAAAGGACTGGATTTCTCACCAGAAAGCACGAAGGCCAGAGACATGGTGCACTATTTTTCAAGTGCTGAAAACAGAGCTGTCAATGCTATATCCAGTAAGAATATCCTTTGGGAATAAAGGGGAAATCAAGACATTTTTAGATACAGGAAACTTAAGTGTATTTGTCACCAGCAGACTTGCTCTGAATAGCGAATGGAAGTTCTCTAAACAGAAAAGCAAATAGAAAAAGGCTTGGGATTTCAGGAAGAAAGATCAATGAGTGGGTAAAAATAGGGATTAGACTGTCTCAAGTTTTCTATTATGTTTCATGTTTGGAGCAAAAATGGCATTGTCTGACAGTTTTAAATGTATACAGAGGAAATACTTAAGAGTTATATGTGGGGTAGGGTAGGAGACTTAAAGGGAGGGAAAGTTTTTATATTTCATTCAAACTGGTAACAACAGCAGTAGACCGATGAGATGTATGTATGTAATATAATAAATATAATAACCTGCAGCAACCACTAAAACCGCGAAGAGAGATGCTCAAAGACACTAGATAAATGACAGGAAAATGGGGAAAAAACAAAAATAAAACTTCAGAGTTAAGTCCTAACATGAATAATTCATTAAATGTAAACTAAATGCACCAATTAAACTACAGAGATTGGTATTATGGATTGAAACATGAGATCCAACTCCATGCTACAAGAAACTCATTTCAAATATAATGATATATGCAGATTAAAAGGATGGAGAAAATTATACCATGCAAACATTAATGAAAATAAAGCACAGGTGACTAATATAAAAATGTAATCATAAATTTACCACACCAGCCATAATTATATTAATAAAAGCTAACATTCATTGAAGACCTATGTACTAGATGCATACGTTTTAAGACAATGCTGTCAGTAGAACTTCTGCAATGATGGGAATGTTTTCTATTGTGCTATCCGACACAGTATCCATTAGCCACATGTGGCTCTTGAGACTTTGAAATGTAGCTAATGCAACTCGGAGAGAAGTTTTAATTTTATATAACAAAATTTAAATTTACATCATCACATGGGATTAGTGGCTACTGGATTCGAACAGTTTTAGGAACTTTCTATACATTCATTAATAGAAGAATTTTCTTTTATGGGTCCCATCATACAGATAATGAAATGGATTAAGAGATTTGTCTCAGGTGATGGCTGCTTGTGAGGGTCATAGCTTTGGGATTTAAACTGAAGTGTCCTGGCATGAAAAACCTAACTTTAACACTGAATGCTGTCAAAAATAGCGTCATAGATAGGTGACATGTGCCTTGAGAGTGCAGAGGACCAAGTTCATAGTCCTCAGGTCACCCTTCCTGAGTGGGCGGGGAGGATGGCTGGGAACTTGTTCCAGATTCTGAGGGCCATGAGTCTACTTTACATAGTTTTTCTTCTTCATCCCACATTTCAATTCCATATGTGAATTTTCCACATTCCCATCAAAAGTACATAATTAAAAAATAACTCGTTTGTTTCACTGGATGTCATTTGTGAGTAGTCCTACAGTAAGCACCCTAGAACTCTAACTGTTGAGTCATGAGGTAAACACATTTTATAATTTGATGGGCACTACCAAATTGTCCCAGAAATGTTAGGTCAGTGTAGTCCCAGCAGGGTCTGATAGTCGTCTTTCCTTTCTCACACAGCACACTCACTAAGCCTGGGTGCTGTCACTTTGTTACAGTCTGACAAACCTCCCCCTCCCCCCACTTACTGCTGCCCTCTCCCAGGGGCCCTTGGTGGTGAGATTGAGGTTGCCTGTGTTTGACGTTGTAGGAGGAAGTGACGTTCAAGGACGTGGCTGTGATCTTCACAGGGGAGGAGCTGGAGCTGCTCAACTCCGCCCAGAAGAAGCTGTACCGAGAGGTGACGCTGGAGAACTTCAGGAACCTGGTCTCAGTGGGTGAGGACATGTGCCTTCTGTCACTCAATGTCAGCTCCCAGGACAGTCTTGGTTTCAAATGTTGAAGATATTGGGACTCTAAATATGCATCCCCCAACCTTGGGATGTGAGTTTCCTAATTCCTGTGGGACAGCTCCTCTATTCTTTGCCTGTGGTTTATAAATTGCAGTTGTGACATCTTGGTGGGGTTTAAAACCAGTTGGTGAGTTGCATTATTATTGCGTTTAATGAAACGGAGCTAGCATAGCTCCTCGTCAAGAACTGCATGCAGCGCAACCAAAACAGTAAAAACAGGAACGGATGTGATAAAAGTAGGTAATGATTGGAATCAGAAGTTTCAGTCACTTGATCCAGTGATCTGTCTGCTTCTGTGGGTTTATGTACTGGATCACAACATAAAACGTATTTATTACAACAGGTCACGGTCAGAATTTGGAGACATAGTACTTAAAGCGCATATGGATTATAGTATTGGGATTAAAATTTTTGTCTTTAGTGTAACCGCCTTATACATAGGCCATTCATTTTTCCCAGGGTATCACTCTTTCAGATTAGATCTGATATCACAGTTGGGGAGAAAGCAGAAGCTTCAGATGCTAGAGCTAGAAACCTGTGGAGGTGGGTGTTCGTTCAGGTGACAAAGGGCAGCCTGAGTCCCCGCAGGGAGCAGCCCAGATGCTCTCCTCACCGCCCCCTGGGGGCGGCCACCACCCTGGCCCGAGCCCCCGCCATTCATTCCTCCTCTTAGTCGCAGCAGCTTCCCACTGCCTCCTGCGGTCTGCTCTCCCTCAGCAGCCCCATCAGACAGCAGCAGGATCGCGTCTGACCAGGTCGTTTCTCTGTTCACCAGTGGTGACTCCGGCTCACGCATACCATGCCTTGCAGGCGCCTGCCTAGGGTGGCCACCCACCCCTTCTCTCACTTGATTTCCTCTCCCTTCCCTTTGCTCGGCCCCTTCCTGCCGCCCAAGGCTGCTTTGTTTTTCACACCCTTGTTTTATGAACCTGAGTGTACCTCCACCTGGATGGAGGTCTTTCCCTCGGCCCCCCATCTGCCTGCGGGCTCTCACTCCATACCACCCCCTGGCTCCCGCCTCACTCATCTGTGTCTGCTCAGATGTCATCTCGTCACAGAAGCCTGCTCCGACAACCCTGCTTCCCATCTTCATCCCCCTGAAATTAGCCTATTCTGAGACTAATCATTATGCGCCAACTGACATATTAACGGATTATGTTTTGTTTACTGGTTTATGGCCTCTCTATCCCCATTAGAGTGTGATGAAAGCCGGGATTGTATCTGTTGTCTTTATTGCTGTGTGCCAGGTGCCTCTGGTAGACTTGACACGTAGGTTAGGCTCGTTAAATATTTGTTTAGCAGGCGGATGAATGGATGAACTAGTGGGCGAGTGGGTAGGTGGTCCAGTTTGGGTGGTAGCGAGAGGCTTCCCTCACGGCTCGCGCTGACCATGGTCTCTGCGGTTGTCAGGAAGCACTGCCTCCTCCGTGGACCCAGTGACATTCTCCCGCTCTACCTCCTCCTCGCCTCTCTCCCTTCCCTTCATTTCCCCCTTTTCTTCACTCTCTTCTTCCTCCATTTATCTTTACTTTGCATATCCCTCAGGTAAACCCAGCCTAAAACAGTCAGTAGAGTCCTACTTGCTGGATAGAAGCACCAAACATCAAAAACTAAATCAAACAAAAATTCGGGGAAATCCAGCTGCTAATCTGATAGTTTGGGCCCTGCCTGTTGGAAGTAGTGGGGGAAATCTTAGTCCTTTTAGTTTCTTTTCTTGTCTTCATGCTGCGTGGAGGTTTCCTGCAGTCAGCAGGATCGGGCGCTGGCTCCGTTTGGCTCCCACCCTCGTGTTTCTGCATAAATGTAGCCTTGGGAATCACCACCCCAGCTGCTACTGTTGTCTCTTTTTCTCTTAATAGGTAGCTTGCCAACTGCTTTGCCTTCTTGAACAAATCTTTTATTTTTAAAATTTGGGCCAGCTTTTCGTTGAAATATGTACAGAAAATTGCACGGATTATAAACGTACAGCTCCGTGAATTTTCAGGGTGTAAAATGACTTCTTGTTTTACAGTTGTTTTTTTTTTTTTTTAAATCAAGGTAACGTTTCCATATGCACAGTTTAAGCATGCAGTTTAACGAGTTTTGACAAATGGTTGTACCTCTAACTCGCAGCCTTCAGAAAGCTGAACAATTCTCATGGCATATTCTACCCTCCTCTCCCTTATTAAAATTTCTTTTGGCAACAGCAGAATACCCCCGGATTTCGCATTTCGTCTGTCCATCTAGTTGCCCCACTCCATCTGTGAAGAATATCCTTGAGGCCTGTTTTCCTTGTACTGTGGTGCAAATGAAAGTGTTTCTTCTCCCTTAAGGATCCTTATAGACAAAAGCCGACCCGAGAACAGTGCTAGGCGGCTCTCACTTCACTCCTCCTGGAGGCATCTCACAAGTGGAGAATAAACCAGTGTGATTGAAGGATTATTTCCAAACATTGTTACTCCTCTGGTGAATGTGTAACCTAATTACACTTTCTGTGGACTTGTATTAGCTATCTGTACCTGTATAACAAATTACCCTTAAACTTAGCAGCTTAAAACCGCAAACATTTATTCTCAGTCTCTCAGAGTCAGGAACCTAGAGGCAGCTTAGCTGGTGGTTCTGGGTCAGGATCTCATAAAGTTGTTGTCGGCATCCCCCAGAGCCGCGGGCCACTGAAGGCTCGATGGGACTGCAGGCTTGCTTCTGAGATGGACTCATCCTGTGGCTGTCAGCAGAAGGCCTCAGTTCCTTACTGGCTTTTGACAGGAGATCTCCGACCTTTGCCAAGTGGGCCTCTCCTAGGGCTGCCTGAGTGTCCACAGAACATGGCAGCTGGTTTCCTCCAGCTGAGTACACCCAAGGGTGTGATGCAGAAACCACAGTGTCTTTTATGACCAAACCTTGGAAGTGATGTACTGTCACTCCTGCCATATTCTGTTGGCTTCATAGACCAAATCCTGATACATCGTGGGGGTGGGACTTGATAGCATATGGACAAGAGGAGGCAGGATCGGTGGGAGCTGTCCTGTGTGCTGGCTGTCCTGTGTGCTGGCTGTCATGGCACCTTTTGGTACGTACAGATCCATGTCTACAAAACCTGGAAGAAATATTAGCCATTCCGGTTTATCAGAAAATTCAGCCAAGTTAAGTGGCAACAATTATCACAGGATTTTTACTCCCATGAGATGTGTCAGTTATGGAAAGTGTTTTCTAGTTTTTTTCCACTTATAATACTGAGCACTTGAATATTATATGCCAGGACATCATTGAAACAAAGAGGGATTCTCTGAAAGCTAGTTTGTTTATTAACGTGTGTGTTTACTGGCTAAAACAGGAAATAATGGCGCCATCTCATGGTTCATTACCAGGACAGCTGAAGTGTTTCCCTTTGCAAATACATTCTTTTCACTTTGCTGAGAATGTCTCTGCTCTGTTGCCCATATCTCTAGTTTTGGCCTCATATGTAAGTCCTGGTTGAGTTCCAAATGAGTCTCGTCAACACTCAGTGGGTGGGAGCCCACTCCACACTGCTTCGTGATAAAGCTGAGCTGAGCTCTCCTCCAGTCGCTTGAGGGTCGAGTGTGGCTGGCCTGTGAAACGTATTCATCTCTGAAACACATTCACGTATCCTCATTTTCATCTCTGAATTCTTCTTCTTCTAGGGCACAGGAATCAGAATGAGATAGAGACTCTTCAGGAAGTAGGGTTAAGATATATTTTAAATGAAGACCTCATATACTGGCAAATATGGGAACAATTTATAAGTAAATTAACCACAAATCAAGACTCGACAATAAATCTGCGAGGCAAGACGTCTGAGTTGCCAAAACAAGGTAATTCCTCCTGTCAGTTGTGGGCAGGAGAATCTACTCAAGTTTCCGAAGATAACTATGTAAGAAAGCTTCAAGTGAAAGTTCAGAGTTCCAGTAGTATAAAAAATCAAGAGTTTCCAATTAAGACCACCTGGGATTTCTGGAAGAAAATGTGTCTGAAAGAGTCACAGAATGATCAGAGTAGGTGTCGACAAAGTGATGGAAAAAATAAACTGTGGATGTATGATCATCATGTTATGACAGGGAGCTCTCATCATGACGACGATGATCAGGAAAGACACAAAGGTGAGAAGTCTGATAGCCATAAAAATTGTGGGAAAGGCGTCATGAAGAAACCTTCGCGTCATAGTAGAATCCACTCAGGAGAGCAAAGCTCTGATGAGAACGGAAAAGGCTCCAGCCTTGGACCTCATCAGCCATTGCACTTAGGAGAGAAGCGCCATGTATGCAGTGAGTGTGGGGAGAGCGTCAGCCACGGCTCAGGGCTTTGCACTCACCCAAGTGTTCACACAGGAGAGAGATGCAGTAGGACCGGCGAGCGTGGTGGGCATGGACGTCAGAGTGTACATCTGCAAACTCACCAAAGAGCGGGCGCAGGAGAGAAATCCTCCACACGTCCTGTTTGCGGTAAGAGCTTCAGTCGGAACTCTTCTCGTCTCCCTCATGAGCCCATTCACCCAGGAGAGAACCCGCAGAGGGCTGGCGAGTGTGGGAAAGCCTCTGGCCGTAGTTTAGATCTTAACCCTCACCGTGCAGACGACACTGGAGAGAAATCCTGGAAATGTGAGGTGTGCGATAAAGTCTTCAACCAGACGTCACAACTTCAAGCCCATCAGCGAGCCCACCGTAGAGACAAAACACACAGACGTGAGGCGAGTGACAAAGCCCACCAGAAAGCCCACTCGAGCGACAAAACACACAAACGGGAGGCAGGTGACAAAGCCCATCAGAGAGCCCAACCTAGCGACAAAACACATAAACGCGAGGCAGGTGACAAAGCCCATCAGAGAACCCACACCAAAGACAAAACACACAAACGGAAGGCGCGTGACAGAAGACAGAAGCCTGGCGCTCCTCAGGGAGAGAAACCGTTTAAATGTGATGTTTGTGGTAAGGACTTTGGTAAGGCCTCAAATCTTAATACCCATCAGAGAATGCACACTGGAGAGAAGCCGTACAAATGTGATACGTGCGATAAGTACTTCAGCCATAATTTCCATCTTCAGGCTCATCAGAGAGTCCACACAGGAGAGAGACCATACAAATGCGACACATGTGGTAAGGGCTTCGGTCAGATTTCTCATCTGCAGGCCCATCGGAGAGTCCACACGGGAGAGAAGCCATACAAATGTGACAGGTGTGGGAAGGGCTTCAGTCAGAGCTCACATCTTCAGGACCACGAACGGGTCCACAGTAGAGAGAAACCCTACAAATGTGCTACATGTAGGAAGCGCTTCAGTCGGAATTCTTATCTTCAAGCCCATCAGAGAGTCCATACGGGAGAGAAGCCCTACAAATGTGAGGAGTGTGGGAAAGGCTTCATTTGGAACTCGTATCTTCACGTTCATCAGAGGATCCACACAGGAGAGAAACCCTTTAAATGTGGCGTCTGTGGTAAGCGCTTCAGACAGACGTCACACCTTCAGGCCCATCAGAGGGTCCACACTGGAGACAAATCCGACTAATGTTTTGCTTTCGTAAGAGCCAGTGTCTTCAGGTTCGTCAAAGAGTACACAATGGTGATAAATCCAGCGCACCGGATGAGCGTGATAAAATTGTGTTGTTCTTCAGAACTTAGACTTCTTGTTTTCATCAGAAAATCTACACAACAGAGAATACAAAACTTTGCATTTTAAGAATTCAGGTGTGAGCTGAGTTTTTCTTCACAGTCATCTGAATTCCATTGGAGGGAACCCATCTGTCACATGAATATGGCTCGCATTTTGGGCAGGACTCAAAATGTCACAGTTCTTAAGAGCATACACAACAGAGAAATCCTATAAGAGTGGTACAGTATGTTCGTCATAACCTTCACATTCAGTAGAATCTACACAGGAGAGAGGCCTTTAAAATGAGAAGGAAGAACAGGACTTTAGCAAAAGTGTAATGATGGACATGAAATTCAGGGCCACTAGAAGGTCAGGTCCATGGGGGCAGGAAGTTTGTTTGTTGCTGAGTGACCATGACCTTGACCAGTGCCTAATAGTGGATATCCTAGAAGTGTCTTAAGTTGGTGAAGAAATGCCTGTTATAAATAGGACAACTATATGAAAATTTTAATGAGCTCAAGCTCAATTTGTCAGAGTAAATTCTACTAGGGAAAGGATTTTCCAAGTCTTGAAAATTAAGGAAATGATCACTTAATAAAGATACATAAATTCATGCAGTCTGCAATTTGAGTGTAAGATTTTTGCAGTTGGCTCCTGACCTCTGCTCAGCTTCACTTTTCAAGCAGTAATGGGCTATAGTTTTTATCTTATCATTTAAGACTTTTTTGTGTGCACTGTTCTGTCAGTTGTGTAATAGTGTAAGTTTCACTGTATTTTGGGGGTCTTTTGTGGCAGGAACAGACAGAATGAAAAACGAGAAACTTGTTTTCAATTCCTTAAAGCATCATGAGAAAGGTGTGGGGAAAAAAAGAGCAACATATAACCTGCATTTTGGGTGTTGAACTAAGCTTTTAAGGCACAGAAAATTTTGGACACCACCCCCTACTTCTCAGATGCTTCAGTAGTTTTTAGGCTTGCTTGGCTGAACAGTTTACTCAAATAGGTGTATATTTACTGGAGGCAGGGGACAGCTTCCCATAATTTTTTTTCTGACCCTTGCTTTCCGTGACACTGGATGCTTAAGATCTGTGATAGCTTAAGTTTCCTGTCACCACCGAAAATCTAGGGCCAATAATGTTCTGCTTTGTCATTAGCAGACACTAGCGTGGACTACTAGAGCTCAGGGTTGTTTACATTAGTTAGGATGTTTGCAGTTGTAAGAAATAGAGAACCCACCTCAAACTAGCTGAGACACAAGGAGAGTTTATTGGGGTGCATAATTAAGAAAGCAGGTAGGACAGGAAGTAGGCCCGGTCAAAATAAATCTTGGTCAGTTTTGTGATTTTCCTCACCTCTACCCTTCTGATTGAGTTGATTTCCACTTTTGTTCATTCCAGCCTACTGATAGGAAATTTATGTAGAGAATCAATGCTCTGTGAACTTTCCTGTAGCACACTCTCCTTTCTAAAGCAGTTGCTTTCTTTTTTCCTTTGTCTTTTATTATTTTATTTTATTTTTTTAAATTTTATTTTATTATTAGTGTCAAGTATACAGTGCATTAGTTAGACATTTATAAAGTTTATAAAGCAATCCCCCTGATTGCTCTCTCCTTCCTCTGGCTGTCCACCTAGCCACTACATTAGAGCTAACTGCGTTTCCTATGCCGTGATCCCTATCCCTGTGACCATCCATTGACCAGTAATTTGTACTTCTTTAACCCTTCACCCCATTCTCCCAGCCCCCCAACTCCCCTTCCCTCTGGCTGTCTTCAGATTGTCCCTTATATTTGTAAAGCAGTTGTTTTCTGAACCTCTTGTTGAGACTTGGTATTTTCCTAAATAAACCATATCTAAGCACAAATATTTATAGAGTTACTGTGTGTTGTGATTTGTTGTTTTGCATCTGCGTTCTAGAGAATCTTTAAAAAACTTTTTCAGAGTAAAATTAGAGTTTTTCTAAAAATAATGCCTGAGATTTTTAAACAAGCAAAATAATTCAGGAAAAGCACTAATACAAGTAATACCACTGATACGTGTCAAAAGTATTTTATTGAACATTTTTTAGAGTGTCTGTTTTTGGGGTACAGGTTTATTCAATTTTACAAAACTAGGGTAATATGCACACTATATTGTAACTTGATTTTCTTCACTCATTAATATGTCGGAAACATTTTCTATCAATCTTGATCCATAATGTTTTAATTGTGTAGTATTCCAGCATACAGATGGATTTTTTTTACTTAATTTCCTACTGAAGAATGCTCAGTTTGTGTCTTCTGATCAGTAGTTCAATGAAAAATTTAGAATATTAACATCCATTTTCATGCTGGGTTTCTTGGAAGAAATTTCTAGAATTGGTACTATATCAAAAAATAACCACTTTTAGATTTGGTGTATATTGTGTGGCTATCTTCCAAGAGTACACGAGATTGCTCATTCCACAACCCTCCTGAGTAGTGGAGATACAATTTTGACTGGATAAAAATGGCCTCCCGGTATTATTCTTGCTTACTAGAAGAAAAAAAATCCTCTGTAGAGAAAGATGCCATACAAAGCGTCCACATATTTTTATAAGCAATGCCTGGCATTAAAACAAAAATTAATCTGTCAAGGAAAAAGATTACATGATCCAAAACAAAGAGAAAGACGATGGAAACCGACCCCCTAGGGGATCCAAACATTGGAGTTACCAAACATGGATTTTAAAATAAAGGTTCTTAATATGTTCATGAAAATGTGGAGAATTTCACCACAGAACTGTTAAAAGGAATCCCATAGTCTTGGATTCGATAAATATGATAACTCATTAAGAATGCAATCGATGGGTTTGTAAAAAGCAAATCAGACGTGGCTAATGCTGTTTATTCTCTAACCCGCAGAGCTCGGTGGACTGTGAGCTCCCTAAGGGGAGAGACCGTGTCTTATTAACGTGTGTGAAGTGAATGTTTCTGGAAACTGTGAGGCCCGGGAGGGAAGAAGCCTTTGCTGGAGAGAATGAGTTCTGGGAGCCCTTTGGGCAACAGGTCCCTGCCAAACGAGAACAAGTTTTGCTTTTAAAAGTCAACTCAGATAACTGCCCGTGAGAATCCTGCCAGATCAATAATTCTGGAACTTTCTGTCCTTGGCAATTCTGGCCTCGGTAGTTAACCACACTGGGGTGACTGGGAAAAGGCAAGGAACATGGTGGATTTGATTCAAAAGTGTAAGGTAAGAATGACAGTCTTGGGGGTGGGGACAGTCTCAGGGTGAGACGAAAGGTAAAGTTATCGTCAGGGAAGCGGCGTGTGAACAGATGGTTCAGGTGAGGAGGACCCAGCAGTGGCAGCTGGCGGAATGCTACTAGGTTATGCCCCGGCCGGCTAGTCCAGGGCGGTCAGGCCCACCTGGCCTGGTGAGTTCTTTTCTGTCATGTTTGCCTTCTGTCTCCAAAGGAGAACAGTTCAGCAGATTACAGAGAAGTGAGATTTCCTTTCTCTGTCAAATCCCTCGTCCATTCTCAGAGGTTGGATAGGTCTCCAGTGAAGGGAGTTTAACATCCTTTGGAAGACACTGCAGAGCCACCATTCTCTCCGTCTTTAAGCCTCAGTGAGGTAAGTGATGCTTTTCCCCATGCGACCTGAGGAAATCGGCCCAGAGGGTTAAAACCATCGCCCTCGTTCACAGAAGTAGGATTTGAACGGGTTTTCAAAATTTAAGAATTTAATTCGTAATTATGAAACACTTCAAAAATAAAAAGAGAAAAATACCATGGACCCCCATATGTTCATCACCCAAATTCAACGATTATCAATCAAGATTTTGCCACATTTGCTCAATCTCATCCCTTTTTATCATAAGTGCTGAAATAATTTAAAGTGAATCCCTGATATGTCATTTTACACTAACCTATTTCAATGGGCATCTCTTAAATATAGACTATTTTTTATTAGACCACAAAGCCACTATCACACTTAACAAAATTAGTAATCAAATTCCTGTGATTGCTTTGATTTTTCACTTTACAGTCAGTAGTTCTCTGTACTGTCTAGTTTTGGTATCAGGATAATACTGGCCTCTTCTATTTTCTGGAAGAGATTATGTAGAATGGTGCTCATTATCCTTTAAATATCTCAGTAGAACTCTCCAGTGAAACCACCTGGGTGTGGGCGTCATCCCCAAGAGCACAGAGATGGACTCCGTGAGCTGAGGTTTAAACCCTGGCGTGACTACTTAGTGTCTGTATGCCCTTCCACAGGTAAATAAGCCTCTGCCTCTGTTTCTTCATTGTAAAATGAGGCTAATATTTGGGATGTTAGGAATAAATGACATAATACATGTTAAGCAAGGGAAACTGTACACAGGTTGCAGTAACTGCCCATGGATCTTTGTCTCACTAGGCTAATAGATGGTGCACACACACAAACCACTGCAAACACGATTCTTAATGGCTTCTTAACACCAGAAGCAACCCCCTGAGATCAGAAATAACACGAGAATGTCCGCTATCACATTGTGTCTGTAATTAAAAATTTTAGCCAGTGCAAGGAAACAATAATTAAACGAGGCATAAGGATTAGGGAAAAAACCTCATTTGCAGATGACATTATGATGTATGTGGAAAATCCAAAAGAATCTACAAATAAGTCATTAGTAAGTAAATTTAGGCCACAATATACAGTGCCGGTATAAAAAATTCAGTGGTGTTCCTGTGTACTGGCAGTGGTTAGAATATGAGAAGTAAAAGAATTTATAAAGGAACTAAAAGTACCGAATCCCGGGACTAAGTCTAATAGAAGAAATGTTTTCTGCACAGAAAACAATAAAACAGAAACTGCAGACCTAAGCGAATGAGACAACAAAACTATTATAAATATTAAATTTGCTGAGAGTAGACCTTAATGTTGGCCAACACTAGCAGTGATAATTATGTGACATTGTAGAGATGGTAGCTATGATATTGCAACATAAATGTATCAAATCAGTATGTTGTACACCTTAAAATTTACACAGTATTGTACGTCAAATAGATCTCAAAAAAAAAAAAAGTGAAAAACCATCATGGGTGCTGCTGGGCCCTCTGGGTCACATGGAAACGCCCTAGCAAAAAGCTTGTTTGAGGGGACTGGCTGAAACTGAGCTGACCTACACGATGGGTCGATACAGAGACTAATTGCTTTTCTGACTTGTGAGCCCTGTCTGTCAAATTTGGATTTTGATCAGGAGAGATGTCGTTCAAAAAGACACGCAGTAAGGAGAATGTTCCCATTTCAGAAATCTGCGTGTCTCAGATTTGAACAGAAAAGGGCTTTTCTAAGGCAGGTGAGCGGAGCTGGCAGGCGCTTTGTGGGGGAGGGGCAGAGAGGGGCAGGAGGCCCCAGCAGGGCTTCAAAGGGAACTGGTTAATTGGTTAATGTCTTCCAGCACACCCCAGAGTCGTCCTGGGGATGCTCCTGGGGATGCTCGAGAACAGTAGATACAGGAGGAAACCCAGAGGAAGCGCCCAGAGAATGAGACCAATGCCGTCCAAGTCCCCGGGCGTGGGACTCTCTGCTCGCACCTAATCCTCACCGCCCCTGTCCACTCATGGGTTCATTCATTTCTCATTCCCTGTGCACCCCGCCTTTCATAGGTTTGG